CTTCTTCTTTTTCCCCCCCCCTACTTAAAAAGCTTTTTTTTTTGTGCCCTTTCGCCTTTGCCCCAAAACAGTTTTTTCTCTCCCCCCCCCCCCCCCCCCCGGATATCTAGCAACATCCACAGACATTTTTGTCATGACTCAGAAGAGAGAGTGCTAGCATCTAGTGTGTAGAGGCCAGCCAGGTATTGCCACACAGCCCACAATACACAGCTCAGCTCCCTAAAAGGAATTATCTGGCCCCCAATGACTAATACTGAGAAGCCATAGGCTTTACATTTAAGATGGGCTGACATGCTGGGTTCTCTTTTACCAAGCTCTCTGAATCTGTGTACCAGACCACAACAGCAACCTTCCTGAGGTCCAGTTATTCCTTTCCCATCTCAAAGCCACAAAAGACTGAGATACTCTTGGACTCGACTAGAACATCACCCTATTACTTAGTTCTGGTACCCAATCTCAGGGACAGCTATGGGTCTGGGAAGTGGGTCAGCTTTAGCTACAATAGGAACACTCTTTCCAGCCTTTCAGACCTCAGCAAAAATAACAGTCCTACTTCTTGGTATCTGCCACCTTGAATATGGAAGATTCATGGTGTTGTCATTGGCCCCAACTTAATCATCACTACCATGACCACCACTGTTTCTTCTGTGAAGGAAGCCAAATAAGACTGAGACTGGACTCTGAATTGCCATTTGTCCCTTAGTGTAAGGATCTAGAATTCTCAGGTTGAATAGCAAAATTTCTTAGAGAGGCAGATAAGCCTTTCATGGACCCAAAAATGATCAGCCAATCCTGACTTGCCCAGAATGCACAAGAGCCACTGAAAAAGAACAAATGGCCAAGTGTGGTTAGAGTCAAGGACACTGAGAATAGTCTATGTGCTCCAGGTTCAAGGATAGCCATCCATGGACAGAGGAATCTTCATAGGATAGGGGCTCTGCCTTGAACAGTGAATAAGCTGGGGATAATGAAACCACTACATTCAAGAAATTTAGCCAAGGCGTAGTTAACCAAAAACACAGGGTGGCTGTGTGAGCTCTAAATCTGTCCCCTGGGGGGTGGCATGGTAGCACTCCATGGCTCGGCCTTCCTCACCTTTGCTGTCCTTGCCTTCTCTCTTCCCCAACCACTCTGCTTCCCCCAAACCAGGTGGTAGCACCCCTCCAGGCATCACTGCACCAGCTGTGCCTAGCATTCCATCCCCCATTGGGGTGAATGGCTTCACTGGCCTCCCCCCACAGGCCAATGGGCAGCCTGCTGCGGAAGCTGTGTTTGCCAATGGCATCCACCCCTACCCAGGTAAGTATGTCTAGTGGCCCTTCCTTCCCCCCAGCAGACATATTGTCTGTTCTTTTCTTACTCACCGTTAGAAAAAGGAATACACAACCCCAGCCTTCTGGCCATTCCTTGGTAAAATCACACATGTGATCATAGAGGGCCACCCACCTGTTTCAAGGAGCCTGTAATGAGAGAGAAAGGACCAAAACCATAACATGGGAAGTACATTCACATCAATAAGAAAAAATTCCATCCCAGGGACTATTTTCAGGAAGAAAAGACACAGGAAGCAATTGTACAACCCAGGTAGAGAAAAGAGGCCAGTAACTGCAAATTGATTGTGAACTTACGCTGTAATAACTAGGAAAACAGGAGCTAAAGGAATAACCATATTTAGTAAAAGTAACAAAGGACTCATTGGGGGAAAGTGCTGGAGTTATTTTGAAGAATGGTCTAGCCATTGCATCCCAGTCCAGTCTTTCTCGGTGCACACAAAAAAATAGGTCAGCACTTTGGACAGCTCCTGTCCCGCTGCTTCTGGGTCTGTGTTTAGGACGTGAAACTGATTTTTGATTGTGGATTGACTTTGTTCCTGTCAAATTCAGTGGTCCTCACATGGCAAGAGCACGAAGTTGTCCTGAAGCACTCTACCTTCTCATAGGAAGGATGACAGATTCCAGGATGGGGAAACAGGGTCCAGAGTCCTAGACTAACAAGTGGCAACGTAATAGAGATGTGCAAAGTCCTGTCCTCCTTTCTGGAGGTCAGAGGAAGGGGCCATAACATCCCAGTCCTCGAAAGATGCTTGGATTCCAGGACATCGGGTTGTCCTCTAGGAAGTCAAAGTTCGTTTGAGAGCACAATATCCACCTTCCCACCCCATCTTTAAACAGCACATCTAAGTCTGATCAGGAGGGAATGTTCTCTGATTCAAGATGACTAAGGACTCAAGTAAAGAGAGAGTCCTGCAGCTCTAGGGTGGGCTGTCCTGGAGACCCAGAGGCAGGAAAAGGCCAGCTTGGAAGAGGCAGGGTTATTAGGAGGTAGTCTAGTAAGGACAAGAGGACATCTATGGTAGACACACCAACGAGGGGCAGACTCATTCTCATCAGAATCCACTACGGGTCTTGACAAAGCTTAGAGGTTCTCATTTCACAGACATTTGTAGTATCAAAGAGCTGTAGCAAGAGCAAAGCGTGATCACTGTGATGAAGGAACAAGAGAGAAGCATTGCCTAGCTGTGGACACAGAGTTGACCTCGATTCCAGTGCATGCCCTAGAGTGCAATGCTCAGGCCACAGAGGTCCAGGCAGGGACTTTTAGAGCCCAGAGGATCTGATGTGCTGTTTAAGGATGGAGACTCCTGCCTGGCACAGGTGGTGGAGGAGGGGCTTGGCATGCTGGAAGCTTAAGTGACCCTGCTAATTTCAGTCCTGTCAGCTGGGAGATGTCACTTCTGGCACATCTGGGTGTCTTCTTCCTCCACTCTTCCCTGCCTCTAAGGCCATCTGGCTCTCCAATTCCTTCCCCACCCTCACTGGCATCTGTGAGCCATTTCCCTGATGGAGCTTGGAGACATTTCTTTTTTTCTATTTGTAACAATCTGCCACATCCCTTAAACAATTCCCTGAAAGAACCAGAGGAGGCATGGAGAGAAGGAGAGGAGAAAAGTAGTACATTAAAAAAATTAATTTACCATCTTTAAATGCGTAGTTTGGAGCCACCGTAATGAGCGAGATCCTTCAAAATGTTCACTTTTTGGCAGTTACTAATGAGGTCGTTAGGCAGAGAAACAGAGAGAGGTCTCTGCATGCATCTCTCCAATTTTTAGCCCCAGTCATGTCTCTGTTCTCCCATCTTGCTCACAACCATGCTTGGAGTGCATAATGTTTGTGGTTTTAATGGCCCCACACCACCCTTGAAAGACTGGCTCCCACAATCACCAAGAACTATTTATACTTTCTTCCCAATGCACTATTTGCTGAGCTCCTAGCACTATGCTGGGCACTGCCTCTAAATTGTACAGACCGTTTCACACATTGGCTTCAAACTTCGTGCCTTGAGAAAAGGGCACCATTTCTTACGTGCATACAGGTGCTGAATGGGTGAGCATCTGGGAAGACCAAAACAGCAAACCAGACATGGCTGTCACTTTAGAGGACTCACAAGAAAGCAAAGGAGACAGGCTCTAGAGCAGAAATTAGCTCTGCTAAATATCAACAGCTTGGAGTTCTTGGTTCTAGCCTCCACCATGGGGAAATGTAGGGATTGGGTGTTGGGTTGGGACAGTCCCAGGCAGGAAATAGCTCATATGATCCCTGATCAGCTTCCTCCTGCTAGGCAGAGCCCCCCTCCCCCTCTTTATATGTGTGTGTGAACAAGTGTGCTTGTGAACATGGACACACACACAATTCCTAGGAGTGTATTATGTTACCTGCTTGTCTCCAGAGACCTTTGTCCCAGGCTGTTCTCAAGACTCCTCTGAGCCCTAGGAGCTGTTCCCTGGTGGAAACTTAGACAAAGGCACATGGACAAGGGCTCAGAAGGAAGTGGGAGTTCTCTTCATTAAAGGCATCGGAAGCCTCATAGGCACTCAGCTTTCCTGGTCTGAGTCAAAGGGCACTTGAGCCCAGGAGCTTTTTTTTATTGCCACCCATTTATTATAAATGGGTTAACCCATTTATTTCAGACTTAGTGGGGCTGGATCCTCCCAGTGCATGGGCCTCCCTGGTCTATCCCATTCGTTCTGTCAACCATCACTAGTCTTGGTAACCAAGGGCTACATACACTGCTGGCGCATACTTCATTCTTCTACTGAGATCTCCGCAGCAACAAAAACCAGAGGCAAAGCAAAACTTGCCACTACTCTCCAGTTTCCCAGAGGGTCTTGCTAAAGCTTTTATCTTCTTCTGGCTCCCCAGTTTCTCTAGGGGTTATCTTTGTCCAAGTCCTGTTGACAGACCCAAGAGCAGTAATTTCTTTTTCCTTCTGTTGCTGCTATAATGATCATGATAAAAGGCAACTTGAGAAGGAAAGAGTTTGTTTGGCCAACATATCAAGTGGCCACAATCCAGTGAGGAAAGCCGAGGCAGGAACCTAGAGGCAGGAACTGAAGGGAAGGCCATGGAGGGGTGCTGTTTACTTGCTTGCTCTCCATGGCTTGCTCAGCCTACATTCTTTTTTTTTTTAAGATATGTTTATTTATACAACATTCTGTCTTCACACCTGATCTTACTATAGATGGTTATGAGCCGCCATGTGGTTGCTGGGGATTGAACTCAGGACCTTTGGAAGAACAGCCAGTGTTCTTAACCTCTGAGCCATCTCTCCAGCCCTCAGCCTACATTCTTATACAACCCAGGACCACTTGTCCAAGGGTGGCCCCAACCACCTTGAGTTGGGCAAAGCCCATATCAATCATTAATCAAGAAAATGCCCTGCAGACTTGTCTAGAGTCCAACTTGATGAAGGAATGTTCTCAGTTGAAGTTCCTCTTCCCAGATAATTCTAGCTTGTGTCATGTTAGCAAAAACCTACCCAGCACAGAGACAGAGTGTCAGGGTGAGCCCTCCTGAAGCCTTTCATTCACTCATGGGATCTGCAAGCCATTCTCTCATTCACTGCTCCTACATTCTTCTGGGAATCTGTGAACAAAAAAGGCCCCCAACCTGAACATCCCTGGCTCTTTGGAACCAACCTCAGTCCTACCCCAGGCCAGGTTCACTATGTACTTCCCAGTTAGAATGGACAAATGTGTGTCTACTTAGGGTTCTGGGTGCAGAAGGGAGAACACCAATAGGACCCCGCTCTCAAGGTGCCTGTCTCAGCTGCCCTCTCTCAGGGACAGCCTAGGGTGACTAGAGAAGGTGGCAGAGCCACAGTGGGGCATGGTGGGGAAGAGGGCCTAGTTTGGGTGGTCATCACTGACCTCTGCTCTCTTGGCTTCCTGCAGCACAGAGTCCCACTGCAGCGGACCCCCTGCAACAGGCCTACGCTGGAGTGCAGCAGTATGCAGGACGTTAGTATCCATGCAGCCTCTTGGCTCTTGCCCTAGATGTCCTCACCTCTCCACATATCTGGACCAGGGGTGCCTTCCCTCTCCAGACCTGCTCCAGCTCTGCATAAGGAAGGGAGGAAGTAGTGGGGCCTCTGGGTGGAAGGAGGGAGGGTGGTACTGGCACCACTTGGGATGTCTTCCACCTCAGGTTCACTATATGGTACTCTGGCATGGGGGTGGGTGGAATTGGGTGGAGGGAGGGCCAGAACTCCTTGAGTTGGAGATCCAGGCACATTTTGATTTCTTGTCTGTATCGTACCGGTCGCCAGGACCAATGTACCTGGTAGTCTCAAGCTACACAGCCATGTCGGTTGCTGCTCTGAGCAGTTCCTGGTCTCTGACTCAGGAAACAGAGGCCCGGGTTAGAGAGGAGTAGGGACTCTGGAGGGGAAGCAGCTTGGAGGCCAGAGGAGAAGCAGCAAAGTGGACAGGCAGGCAGGAAGAGACAGCCTGGGGCCAAAACGCCAGGTGTTACAGAACCCAGCCAAACTGTCAACCAGGCCTCTCCCTTTGTCCCACCACTTGGCCACATACTCTTGTCACCCATACTCAGCCTGTGCCTGCTGTCTGGCCTGGTGAAGGCACTTTTCACTTGCTTTGGAGATCTAGTGATGCTCCCTGTGGGTGATGGGGCTACATCACAAGATGGCACTTCAGGGGAAGCTGTCTTCACTCAACTGGAGCCGAGTGGAGGCGCCATTTTTGTGAGGCCCGCTCCAGCTCTAACCTCAGGCTCTGCAGCTGTGAGAGTTAGGCTGCATTGCCAAGAGAGACAGCTCTCCCCCTTCCCACCCCCGACCTTTCCCAGCTGAACACAGAGCTTCAGGTATAGTCTCGGGGGACACACATCCACACATCTTCAGACTCTTTACTTCTCACCAGGTATCATCTCAGCAGAAGTGAGGATAGGTCAGCTGCACATGCACGCACGCACGCACGCACCGCACGCACCGCACGCACCGCACGCACGAAGTCGTCTCTGATATACATATTGACACTTCCCCTTCAGAGGTATCACAATTTGAAAGCTGCTTTCTCTGAACTGCCTGAGTTGCTGTACACCTTGTGGCTGGTGGCTCTTATTAACTGACACTGAAATCTTTCTCTTTGTTCTGGTCCCCCCCACCCCCATCTCTATCTCTCTGCACCCTGTTGTCATCTCTTGACTTTCTCTTCGGCTCCTCAGCAGCTGCCTACCCTGCTGCCTATGGTCAGATAAGCCAGGCCTTTCCTCAGCCACCGCCAATGATTCCCCAGCAACAGAGAGAAGGTGAGTCTTGACCCCTCCCTTCCCCACTCCCCGAAGAGGCTGCTTTATCTGGGCTTCTGGCTTCCCCAGGCCTCTGATGGAACCTTGGTTAGATGTTATGGCATAGAGGTGGATTAGAGAGCTGCAGGGCTAGAAGAGGTACTCTCCTATTCATACAAGGAGGTGTGCATCTTATGGGCAGCTAGCTCTGAAAATCAAAGCGGTAGCCTAGCCCAGGGGCAGATGACCAAAAGCATGCCCCAGGGTCCAGAAAGGAACCTCTTCAACTTCCCGTTATTATTTGCCAGTGCTCTGACACAGCTCACATGCATGTATCTTGGTTCTTAAAAACCAACTCTTGAGAATGGGGAAGTTGTTTTCCTTCTGCTACAAGCCCTTTCAGTTACTCTTAAACAAGTCCTAACAGAATGTAAGGTTATATTTGCTGGTGGAGGCCTTGTCCCTGATCCAGGGAGCTCTCTGCTTTATGGAGAACACACAGGTCCATTCTCTGGGGTGTTATCTGCGGTCCATCCTCTGTGTTCCCAAAGAGTGTGAGCAGAGCTGGGAGGGGCAGCCTTTGCAACACTTGCACTGGGAAGGAAATGGTGATGAGCCTGAGGTGGTTGAGGAAGTGAGGTGCTGCAGGAAGTAGTGTCCACCTACCTTCCCTGAGGAGTAGGATTTGGCCAGTATGGAGGGCAGGAAGAAATAAATGCTCATGGCTGCAGGAGCCAGGAAAAGGAAGCAAGTTCATCCTGTACAGGATACATGAACCCTCCCAGTTATTGGGAGAGAAAAGCAGTGCTCCCAGACAGGCTCCATGGGCAGGATGAGGTGTCCTACAGCTGCAACGCAGGTCTGATGAAGAGGGTTGCCCTGGAAGGCTGTGTGCAGAAGCCAGTGTTGGTAGAGCAGGATAGGTAAGACCAGAGCCCTAGTAGAGACTACATGATGGCACCCATCAGTTTCCCTCTCAATACACAAAGATCCACAGAAACAGCAAGATGGGATACTATGTAAACCATTGTCTCAGAGGCCCTGCCACAGAGCTTGAGAAACAGGGACACTAACAAGACCCATCTTTTTCAGCCCCTGGTAATAGCTACCTGTAACAAGGCCACCAAATCTGTCCCAGAAGTTGCCAATGGCAGGCTCCAGTGGTTTTCAAATGTAAGACATGAGGCCCCTGCAGTAGACTGTACCAGTGATCTGGAGCTTAAGGAAACTGCTTTGGAGCCAACTGATTCAAATCCCTTTGGTGAGAGAAACCCCAGAGGACTCAAGCTCCTGAATGGTTGCAAATATGGATTTCAAACTACATCCTCAGGCTCTGACTCCCAGAATGGTCACCTTCTGCTTAGGTGATTCTGTACAGTCACTCCACTCCAGCACTTACGCAATAAAGACAGTGAGGACAATTCCCTAGAGAGATGTGTATATCAAATCTCACTGAGGTCTGCTCTCCTGTACCCCATGCAGCAAATGTCTACACATAGCCTATCTCTGCCGGGAGCCAAAGCTATCTACAGAAGCCAAAGCCAAAGCTATCTAGTGAAGACTAAGCTATCTACTGAAGCCTAAGTCAATTAGTGAGTCAAAGCTATCTAGTGGAGACAAAAGGTGTTTGCTAGGCCAAGGCCAAATAGTGAGCAAAGGTCATTTAGTGGAGACCTAAAGCTATTTAGTGAAAGTTATCTAGGACCCTAACTCATGGGTGATAGACTGTGAGGACATCAGTTTGTTAGAGCATCCATGAGAAAACATCCCTAAGTTATCTTGCAGGCACCCTATTTAACACATGAAAGCACTCTTCCTGTCTCCTGCAGCAGCTAATTACCTTCCCCCTTTCTTGCCTTCTCCCTATATAAGTTGGGTAAAAATTTCTAATAAACGGAAGCCTTGATCAGACAAACAGACTTGGCTCCCTTCCTTGTGCTTCTTGTCCCCCACCCCAATTCCTTCCACTCTCCTCCCTTAGGAACCCCGTTGAAGCCCTGCTGGTCCAGGGCATGTCTCTACCCACTTCCCACCTCCAAAGCCTCACAAGGCATGTCCCCATGCATCAGACAGCCCCCAAGGCCCACATCATCACATTTCCCCATACCCAGGACCCAGGAGGTCTGTGGTAGGCTTCTCCCATTCCTTATCCCCATGCCTAGCAGTAGATGAGCACCAACTAGGCCCCCATCAGTGAGCTGGGCAGGGCGAGTAGTCCCTTAAGGCCTGCCTCACCCCAAAAGTCCTTCCCTGGGCTGTGAGCCTTGGGGCTTGCCTTCCTGCAGCCCAGACCTTTCTCAGCTAGGCCAGACACACACACACACACACACACAGAGAGAGAGAGAGAGAGAGAGAGAAATGATAGCCTTTACTACTGGCCTTAAACTCAAGTCCCCTTGTGCTTTTTACCGCCTACCCCCAACTCCCACCTGTGCTACCCTACGTATCTAGCTCTGATTTTCTCACACCTTTTCCAGCTCTGCGCAAACTCAACCATACCCTGTCCCCTAACCAGGCCCTGTGTGACAGGCCTCACTTTGCCCTTTCAAAAATATTTCATGGACCCATCCCTTTCTCCTGGCCATGATGTAGAGGCTCCCTAGGGAACAGAAGGCAGGAAGGAGTGGGGCATGGATACAGATGCTAGCAGAACCATGCTGTATACACAGTGGGTTATGGCATTAGGGACAGGTTGTGGGCTTGGAAAGAGGAAAACTAGCACATAGAAGTGGGGAGGTAAGTGCTACAACTAGGGGGCACCATGAACAAAAGACGTTAGCAAGCATGAGTTGAGCCTGGGGCCCAGGAGATAGGAAGAAAGGTGGGCCAGAGGCAGACAAAAGTCAGGTGCCACAGGTGGTATGAAGACTGGGAAAGAAGGCTGTGTTCCCTCAGCTCTGTTGCAGGCAGTCTCTCGCAGCATGGTTACCTCTCCCATGGCCTACTGTTGAATGTCAGAACACATTGGTAGCTGAGGAGGATGCTCCTGTCAGCTCCTAGTCTTTGAGCTGAGCCTAAAAACCAACAGATCCCAGAACCAATTCCCAGGCCACCTGGTGCACAGATGGCTCAAGGGTCTCTGGGGTGAGTATGGCTGCAGCTCTGCCTGAGGCTAACTGATCACTTTCTGTCTCTGAAGCTGCATGTCACTATTGCCCTAGGTTGGACTGGATTCTGTGAATGAAGCACTGCAGGAAGAGTTGGAGCGCAGGATCACTGTTAAATATGGGGACAATAACGGCTCCTAACATCCCAGTTAGGGTGACACAGCAGGGCATTCAGCCACACCTTGCAGACAGAACTGAGCTGATGTCTCTGAAAGCTCATAGAGGAATCTAAATTTGGAGTTTATTCCAATTCCAATTCCAAGGCAGCTTTCAGCATGGGGTAGAGTAGAGCCATCAAGGAAGCCTTGAAGAGTACGAATGAGAACAGGAGGGGAGGCATATGTTGGGCCCCAGGGAGATGTGGATGGGAGAAGGCGAATGGTCTAGTTATAGCGAGTGACCTTATTGTGGGAGAGAAAACCTCTGTGATGTGGAGAAAAACCCAAGCCAGTATGGACTTGGGCCACTAGAAGGAAAAGGCCAGAAGAAATCTCAGGGAGATACAATTGGGGGAGAGGATCTGGAGTGGATCTGGAGTGGTGCAGTATAACTTAGATTTGTCCTCATTGGTGGTCCCCCCCAAGGTGGTCCTATCTAGCCAGGGACCATTAAGAGGTACATTTAGCTGGCATGCACTAGCAAGAACATTGCATGGTTGGAGCAGACAGGGTTAAGAGAAGGGGCCACCAAAGTTTGGGTGGTGGTAAAGAAGCACACCCTTGCCTAGTTCTGAATATGCCATCCGCTGGCAGAGGTCCTAGTGGGAGAATCTACCAGCTGCTGGAGAGGTCAGTGGCTTAGAAGGTAGCTTTAGTGGGCAAGGAAATATTCAGGCTCTGGGCCTGGTAGTGGTGAGGCAGTCAAAGGAGGAAGATGGTGGGAGGGCAGAAGAGCACCCAGAGCCAGTTATTTGTTCCCAGGATGGATTATCTGGCAGCCTCACTGGTTCTAGGTGAGGAGGACAGTAGCTTCTGGATGCCTAAGTCATGTAGCTGGTGGCAGGCCATGCTGTTGTCTTATGGCCTTCACTGGGACTCATGTTTAGACATCATCACTGAAGTGACCTTAACTTTCCTCAAAGTAAAAAAAAAAAAAGTTTCCTCAAAGTTCAAGGAAAACACGGAAGATGCTTTTTAAGATAACAGGACAACTAGGGAAGATTTCCATTTAAATAGTTAAAATTGATCCTTTGAACCATTGTAAAAAACACAGCTTTATCTGGAAATTCCAGAAATACAAAGTCCTGGAGAAGCCTGGAAGTTTATGGTTCATGACAGGTAGGAGGAAGTATGAAGTTCATATGAAGTATGGGTTCATATCTTGGCTTTACCACCCCCTACACACCCTGCACTATGTTTTTTTGGCAGCTTAGTTTGGAACTCAGTTTCCTCAGCTGTAAAGTGGTGACAGTGTAGCTAAGTCAGAGGATGGGGTGAGTCCCACACAACTTGCTTAGGACAACCCAAGGATGTTCCCAGGCTGGAAGTGTTCTGCCTGCTATTCAAACAAGAGGAGGCAGCTCAGGGGTGCCCTGACAAACCGTGGAGCCTCCCTGAAGCGGTGCCTATACCAAATGCTGGATCGGAAAGAGAAAATCTTGCTTTCAATCATCAAGAATAGGAGGGAGCGTAAAGTATGGAGCAGGGCAGCTGGGCCTTTGGAAGGAATCTATGTGAAGACTGCAGGCCAGGCCTGAGCTGAGACTGAAAGGCAGAGAAAGTAAAGTGCCACCAGCACAGGGTGAGGGCCATGCTCTCCACCCTCCCAACAACAGGGAATACTCCCAGGGCTGGAGGAGTACCTCCAAATTCTGTGCTCCTTCCTCAGCACCTCATTTCCAAGGACACAGCTGATCAGGCCTTGGCATATTCACCTCCATTCTCTCATTGCTTGCCCTTCCAGCCCCAGAGCTGCTGCTAGGGCACCACTGTTGATCTGTTTGCTGAAAGACCATTGAGACACAGAAACTTGCCCAGGGCAAGTTTCAGTGACTTGCCCAGGGCCACGTAGAGTTTGGAGCTCATACTTGGGGCTCAGTAAAGTCCCCCATTCTTTGGGGGTTGCTTCTTGAAAGAGCCTCCACCTCCTAGCCCTGCCCCTCCTTCCCTGCTGCGCTGCCTAACTCACCTTTCCTCTGTCTCTCTCTTCCCCCACCCTGGCATCCCTCTTCCCTGCCCATCCCCTCCCCTCACCGCAGGGCCAGAGGGCTGCAACCTGCTCATCTACCATCTGCCCCAGGAGTTTGGGGACGCTGAGCTGATGCAGATGTTCCTCCCTTTCGGTAATGTCATCTCCTCGAAAGTGTTTGTGGATCGGGCGACTAACCAAAGTAAATGCTTTGGTGGGTAAAGATAACAAACCATTCGGCTTCACCTAGGATGGGGGCTGCCCCCCACCGACTCCTCCTGCTCCTTCACACTGCCCCAGGTGCTCCTGGCTCAGCCTCCATCTCAGTCCTTTTCTTCTGTTCTGCTTTTCCTTTGGCTTCTCAGCTTTTTCCACCCACACTCAGCTCTGGTTTCCCAGTCCAAGAAATCTTTCTAGCTCCCAAACCCAGTTCCAGCCACCAAGAAAAGGAAGAGGTCGCTGTGGGTGGAGGTGGGGGGATAGAATGCAGAGTCAGAGCATGACTCATCTTCCCAACAGTGTCTCATGCTCAGAGAGTCTGGTTTTGAGCCTTAGGGTAAAAGCCAGTGATCCAGAAGTTCGTCAGCCTGAGGAGGCCCTATCTACCTGCCCTTCAGCCATCTCTCCACCTCTCTGTCCTGCCACATTTCCTATGCCTGCCCTGTTCCTTGCTCCCTTCATGCCATGCAGTGACCCCACCCTTACACCCACTTCAGACCACCAGAGTGGGCATTGTTGAGGAGCCAGGAGGAGATTGCCTTCAGGAAGTCTTAAGTTCTGAGCTCAGTAGAAACCACAGCTACTTAGCAGCTGTGAGCTGTGCCAAATACCACGCGATGAAGCAGTAGGGAAGGCAGAGGAGGCTGGAATGGGCATGTGGCTGGAGGGAGAAGAGGTAAAGGACAGGAAATGAGCCTTTGGAGGAAAGAGGGTTCACAGTACTAGCGAAGAGGTCTGTACTAGACTTTTGCTATTCTGCAAGGAGTCTTTGATTGGGCGTATTATATTTTGTTTTTATAAATTTGGTATCTTTATTCAGAAAGGTCTAGATCTCATGGGATCCTCTCTCATGCTCACACCTTTTCTTTCAACTCCATCTTGGTCCATCTTCCTTCTTTTCATTTACCCCATCAGAGCATCGTTGTAGTTATATCTACTCATGAGTCCCCAAGGGTATAGAACCCACAGTGTGCTTACATGGAGTCAGAGCTGGTCTGCCAAAACTTCATACAGCTCAGATTCTTGGTGTTTGAGGAGTGAGTGACGGGCTGTGATGGCCAGGGAACTTAAGGGTGGTAGAGAGAAGGGAGCCCAAAATGAAGAAGCATCCCAAAGCATTAAGTATAAGGCATTTTCCAGTATGGAATCACGAAAATCTTGGGGACTCAGGATGTGTTCTCCAGGAGAGTCAAGATCTTGCCATCATTGTGCCCTCCCCTCTGGCAGCTATCACAGGAAACTCATGTTTCTTCAATCATGTAGAGTTGCCCCAGCATCTTATTTCTTTTTGGCTATGGAAAAACAAAGAGAAAAAAATGCATACCTTGCCTCTCCCTATCTGATTGGTATGTTTCTTTAAGAATTAAGATGATGTATATCTAGCTCATCTGGATGTCTGCTCCATTTGTGCTTTACCTGAGAAGCATCATTTATACCACAAACATCATGTAAAGAACACCACTAGGAGCCTCTAGCCACATCACATCTGCCTAATTGGCTGTCCCTCTGGACACAACCCAGTTTTCAAAGTCATTTCCCTGGCGTCCCCATGACCAAGCTTTCTTTTCTCTGTTTTGGAAACCTTCTGGACACCTCTGCTCAATTTCTTCTCTTCTTAGGCTTCTGTCATGCCAATCTAGCCCTCTCCTCCCCTTTTAGCCACTTGGGTCCCCTGGCTCACTTCTACAGCAGAGCCTTCTGCCCCTCTCCCAGAGACTTGTAGTTCCAGAGCTCCAGTGAACACTCTGAACCACCTCAGTGCCCTCATTTATGAACTGCCCTGCAGTTATCCCTAGGAGATCCTTAAGGGTCGATGAGGCAGTCAATGACAGAAGTTTGGCCAGAGTGCCACAGTTCCTCTTATAAAAGGTATGAGGCTGTAATAATGTCCTGTGCTAACTAACACCCACCCCTCAGAGGCTGTATAACGGTAAGCAGAGCCTTCCAGAGCTTCATGACTGAGTGCGTGGCACAAATGCCCCTCCTTGGAAGGAGAGCTTCTACCTCTGAGGCTTTTCAATGTCTGGAAGCCAACAACTCCTTGAGGGTGGGGTAGGAGGCTCTCTGGCAGAGGAAAGCAGTGAGCATGGGACATGGTACCGTCAGCCCTACACGCAAGGAATTCCCAGTCTGCAAACCTTTGCCCTGACTGCCAGGAACTTGAGGAAGCTGCATGAGGAGGGCTTGTTCCCCTGAGCTCAAACACACTTCCAGCTCCTTGGCTCCCAGGAAGCGCTTGCCTTTCCCAGAAGCTGGGCTGCTGGTTTTCCTCAAACTTCTTCCAAGTGGCTATCCCTCCTTTTGGCTTCACTGAAGGCAGCCCTGAGGTTTTCCCACTTTTCTCAGCTTTCCCCTTCTCCCCATCAGAAAGAGACACCGAACCTGGGTGTCCACGTAGAGTCAGTGCCAAAGGTGCCCCTGTGGGGGTGGGGAAGGGGTGCAGTCATGTGGGGATAGGTGCTTGGCTTTGCTCTTCTGTCTTCCTTAGTCTGGGGACAGCAGTGAAAACAGACTTTCACACACAATGAAAACTGCTCAGGATCTGCTGAGCACCTGTCTTTAGTCACCAGCCATACAGGAGGGAGATGGCCAGAGGGGATTTGGACCGGAGGCTCCTAGCCACTTGATTTTGCACGCTGATGCTGGTTTTGTTGCCCTGAGCCTGACTCTAATCACTTCTGCTTGCGCTTGTGTCCATATGTGCACAAGTGAGACACGCACCCTCTTCCTTCATCCTTCATGATATACAGCTGCATGAGTAAGTTGAGCAAAGCAGGAAGGGGACAAGAGGAAGAGGGAAGAGCCAGATGTAGACAGTGTCTGGGGAGAGTGCAAAGGGAAAAAGGAGTGAGCAGGAAGGGGAGAGTGAAAAAATCAGGAGAGCGAGGGCATGGCTACATCAGCGTGAAGCCAGGGGCAGGCTAGAGGTATGCAGCAATATCCAGAAAAGAAGCTACACGCAGGGTCTGGCCACAAAATGATCTCTTCCCTAACTTACAGCCATCTGGAGACCAGCATGCTCCGAGTATAGCCTGAGCATGTCAGCCACGCTGGGTTTCAAATGTTTTGTAGGACCTAGGTCTGTTTTTACAGAAGATAAGCCCCTGAAACGGAATGAAACAAAGCTCTGAAAGTGTATTTCCTGGAGATTTGTGACAGGAGGCCATGCTTTTACTTGATGTCCCCTGTTCTGGTCCCTAGCAACCTGCCTATAAGCAAGCCCGCTGGACCACAGAAACCCCTTTCCCCCCCAAGCAGTTAGGGAACTGCTTACGTGATGTCTATATGAGAAACTGCTTTCAGAGGCGACTTCCCAACTTAAGCCACAATCTGGTGTATCTACGGGTGTTAGTTAGCAGTGAAGCGCAGAGCAGAAGGTTAGTGGCAGGCGCTCCACATCCCTAGGAAGGCTGCTGCAGGACACATCACGTGGTGTGTGCTTAGCTAAGGGGCTTCCCACAAGCGGCAAGGGCTGCGCACAGCCCCAGGGGTGAGGCGGGTTTTGGGAAGGGGGTGACGGGGCGGTGGAGTGGCTTCCCCGACGTTCCTCCCTCCCGGCCCTCGCACTCCTCTCTCTCCCCAGGCCGGCACCCCGTGCCCTCCCGCTGCCAGGCCCCCTCCTGTCAGGGAGGACAGTGTGCAATAAGCTCCTCCGCCCGCAGGTGTGTCCGCCCTCTCCCGCGGGAGGAGAGGGCCGAGGTGGCGGGCCGGCCGGGGTGGGGGGCGGGCGCCGGCGCCACCGGGAGCCGAGGAGCAGTCTAGCCCGGGCCGGGGCGCCAGGCCGGGAGGGGCCTGCGGGCGGAGGGGCGGGGCTGAGGCCGGGCCGGGCCGGGGGCGGAGCCTCGAGCCCCGCCCCTCCCCTCCCCTCCCGCCCGCAGCGGCCCCGGGCGGCCCCGTGGAAACCCAGGCCCTGGTCCCTCGTGTCTCGCCAGGCTTCGTGAGCTTCGACAACCCGGCCAGCGCGCAGACCGCCATCCAGGCCATGAACGGCTTCCAGATAGGCATGAAGAGGCTCAAGGTGCAGCTGAAACGGCCCAAAGACGCCAATCGCCCGTACTGAGCGCCGGCGGGAGCGTCCCCCGGGGGAGACCAGGACTCGCACAGGTAACCGTGGGCGGCGGGGCAAAGGGAGGGAAGGTTTGGATGGACCCGTCGCCTTCTCAGGCCTTCCTGGGCCCGGCCCTCACCTGTGCCTTGGACCCGATGCGCCCTGGTCAATCCTACTCCTGGCTCAAGGCTTACATCACAGGCATAGCACTAAGGCCATCCCGGCAGAACCGGGTTTGGCTGTCCCCTCTGCCTCTAGGCCAAGAGGGGCAGAAGCGAGGAACGTTTGAGAAGATGAGCAGAGCCTTGGGCCTGCACCTTCAGGCTCCCATTGTCATTAGCCAGGGGCCCTAGGTGGGTAGATGGCCAGTTCAGGCCTTGCGGTGAGGAATGCCCTCAGGTCGAGCCTTCTCCCAGTCTCCCTGGCTCTCTTGCATGCCCAGGTCTGCTGGAAGTGTGCACGCAGCCTCCTCCTTGACTCCTTTCCTCTGTAACTGCCCTAGTTTAGCCAGGACAGGAGGGGCAAGGATTTTCAAAAGCACTTCAGCAGGAGGAAACACAGCTGGAGGACACACAGCTGAGGAAGGAAGGGTACAATGTTGGAACCTTACTTGGTCTGCCCACGCCTGGCAGCTGGAGGCAGTTAGAAACTCCTTTTTGGGTTAAATGTTCTCCTGGGCAGAGTAGATTACTAGGAAAGGAATTGAGGGAATGTTCTAGGCTACTAAGTCCACCTCTACCACTTCCCCTGATGCCGCTCACCTCAGTAATCCTCAGCTTAGTCACGGACCAGAGCTGAAGGCCACCCTTGGCCTCTTCTTGCTCAGGCTGCTCCACCCCACCCCATCCTCGGTGCCTCAGGCACTGTGTTGGGTACATGGTAGGGCTGGGAATAGAATGCCTAGTCTTGGTATGTGTGGGAATGGTAGCTGGGCTGCAATTAGGTAGTCAGGATTGTCAGGCCAGCCTGAGTTGATATTGGAATAGACTTGAGAAGGTGATGGAGGCACCATCTGGAGATGAGTGGCCTCTCACTGGGGTAAGGTCAGGGACAGCATATCTAAGGAGCAAGCAGGGGACTCAAGGTGTTGCAGGGAGACTGAGAAGTGGGAGACACCCAGGGGAGAGAGGAGCCACTGCTTGGAGCCTGCAGGCCACTGCATGGACTTAGCTCTCTTCTGAGGTGAGACAGGGTGTCAGAGGGTTCTTTAGGGAGGCTGAGATACCCTGTTGCTATGTTGATGCTAGGCTGTAAGGGCTGCAACAGAGATCTGCTGTATCGACCTTAATCTGGGCAGATTAGGCTGTGTGAATGTTTAGATGAAATTTGAAGGTAGAGTCAAAGCTGCTTTTCCTGACATAGCAGAAGGTGTGGAAGGGAGAGAGGACCCAGGAGTGACATCCACAATTCAGCCCTTGTGACAGGAGAACAGAGTCTGTAAGAAAGATTGAGCATGTGAGAGTTAAAGCATGTATGTGGAGATTCATGATCAGGAGTATGGGAGGGAATCTCCAGATTCTGGGTCTCTCATGTCATTTCACACTTCCCAACAGGGGTACAGACGCCAGCAGAAGACCCTTCTGTATCAGCTGGAGCAGGGGTCTTTTCCCTCTGGGTGAACATTAGCTAACACTCTGTGATCCTGGAAGATCAAAGCTGACCCTGCCCTCCTCACTCCCCAGCCCCACCTATTTCTACCTTATGTGTAGATTCGGGCATGTTGGGCCACAGAATCTGAGCACCATTTTGTGCTGGGCATTAGACTTGGGGCTGGGGGTACAGAGACGAGCATGTTACATAACACACACACACACACACACACACACACACACACACACACACACACACCACAGGCAGTTCAAAGAGTGTGCTGTCATAGGTCAGTGGAAGGTGATGCTAAATGATGAAGTGTAAGCTAGTCACTTAGGAGAAGGAGGCCTGAGTAGAGGCTTGAGGGACCAGGTCAAGCTGAGAGCAGCCAGGTGGTGAGGAGGTGACTTCGACTAGGTAGTTACCATGTAGTAGTAAGGTGGGCTGTTCAAGCAGGTTTGGTGTTTTCTAAGGCCAAGTCAGAGCCACTGTGAGACATCTCTGGGGAAGAGAGATTCAGGCAAGGTAGCTGGGTAACATGGCTGGGTTTGGTTCCACAGACAGAGGCCTCAATAGGGTAGGGTTGAGGTTGGGGACAGAAAGGCTCTCCCCACTTGCTGGTTTCCATCTCCACTAGCTATTTGGGCCTGGTGTGTGCCCAATCCGTGGAAGGCTGGACTATAGCTTCGGGCCTGGGTTATTAATGGCTAGAGTCAAGCTATTTTAGATGGTGTATCTGAATTGGTCCTGCCTGGTTCAGGATGGTGGACCAGAATGTTCCAGACTTGATCTCAGCTTGTCTGTGCTGGTCAGGACCCTATTATCAACCCAGGGTTCTGTGCTCTGTGAGATAGCCCTTTTTGGGGAATGGATACATGGGAGATTGTACTGTGTGTCTGTGAGAGATGTGTATAGAAGAGATGAGGGCTGTATGAGAGAGTTCCTTGATGGAGTTCTGAGAAGAGGGGATGTATACATTCAGGTCTGAGTCTACATGCCAAAGATAGTGTCTGGCACCAAGGAACAGCTGGACTGAAACTGGGGAGACAGGAAGAGCAGAGTGCAGATAGGGAGTTCTGGCTCTAGAACCAACATGTCTTACAGCAGTTGCCAACACTAACACCCAATGGCAATATACTGCTTAGTTCTTAGGACTCTTCTCATGGCAAAAGGACCCTTTATCTAGGCAGCCTAGCAGGGATGGGACATTGTAAGAGCTTCTGTGAGGGACTGGAAATGCAGAGGAGGGTAGCAGTCAGGATGCATGAAAAGCAAAGAACGCAGTGTGAGTTGACAGACAGAGTGGAGGCCATGTGTGGGCCTACTTGCTTGGACAGCTTAAGTAACATTGTGAGATTCTAGGTTTACTCTACTTTCAAGGAAATCAAGACAGACTGGAAGTGGACTGACTGCACAGGGGCTAGTGGGTTGGAGATCCTGGAGACAAAGTGAGGATGTGCAGGTCTTGGCACAGGTCTGGGTGCTGCAGAAAAACAGGGAGCAAGCTCACAGATAACCTTGGGAGGGGACTTAGAGCAGGATCGATCCAAAAGAATCCCAGAAGTGAGGAGCATAATGATGTCTACAGAGGAAAGCAGTCAGTCTTAACCCTGAGGGTTCCTGCTAGGGACTTGGGACAGCTGGGAAAGCTGCTGGTGATAGTGTAGAGGAGGCATGGGAGAATGGAGGAGGGGTCCCCAAAGCCAAGGAAAGAGCAGCAGGGGCCAAGGCCAGCACACTGCCTTCTGTAGCCCCACCCTGCAGCTCTCTACATGGCCCTTTCTTAGCTGAGAACCACAGGCCTCTCTGAGGACCTCACAGCACAGAAGCAAGCTCAAGTTGGCCAGCTGTTGAGCGAGTAAGAGGATGAGGTAATCACAAAAGAAAGTGCTAGTGCTCAGGCATTACAGGACACCAGGGATTCTGATGTCATTTGCTCTGAACCTTGAAACAAAAGACACTGGTTTGCCAGAGCAAAGAAGTGTGAGCACAGAGGTGCCCTGTAACCCAGGAACACCCTTTCTGAGGTGGGATCCACAGGTGGGAGGGTGCCGCCCAGGTGGACTACACTGTGGTGGCAAAGTGACTCAGGAGACTCACCTTTCCCACCTGCACAGCCCACCAGGGCACACTGGCACCCCTGCAGGCCCTCAGGTGAGGAGAGCTCTACACGTGGGGGAGAAAGAACTGAAGGTGTTGATGGAGCTTGCTCCCCGAGACCTGCTTGCTGGCTATGGTGGTGTGAGGGGCTGTTAGATTTTTTTCTGGCCCCCCTCACCAAACTGCCTGTACCCCTTCCTCTTCCCAACGCATGGTGGGCGCCCTTAGGGGCCCCGTGTGAGGTTCTGCTCCTGTTCATGGTGTGCCATGCGTCTGCATAAGTAGCTGTGTGTGTTTGTGTGTGTTGATGTGCTCATGTTGTCTGTCTGCTGGCTTCCTCCATCCTTTGAGTTCCTGTTGGTTCCCTTATGATTTGACTGCTGTTTTTCTCATCCAAGCTTTTAGACTGATGCTGTGGTCTGGTGCTGTATAAATATTTTTCCTTTTAATTTTAACTTCTTCCTTACCCTTCTTTACCCTCAACCCTCTCCTTGTTCCTCTTCCCTCTCTAATTCCACTTTCCCAACCCCTTCCCAGCCCTCCCCTCACTCTCTTGTTCCCCCTCTCTTTCTCTCTCTCTACATATATAAATATATATATATAAATCTTTTCTTCTTTTGTCATTCAACCAAATTCCAACAACCCAACCAGGGCCAGTCAAATCCACCACAGTCTCGCGCTGAGCTAGGAATAAAGTTCACGTAATCACATGAGAGTGGAGAAAAGTCCCCCATCCGTAAGTTCAAATCAACTCAAAGTTCACAGTGTGACATGATGGCGTCATGTAACAAGGCTAAGAATCGGTTGCATGACACTTGCCGTCAAGTTTCGTGGAGGTGCTGTGATTGGAGCGTTTTTCTTGGATGTCGTACCCGTGGATGATTGGCCAGTCATGATCACACGTGCATTTTCTTAACCCTTGTGCTGCCACGGTCTCTATTGCTGTGCTCATTTTTGTTTCGTTCTTGGTGCTTGCAGTGGTTTTACTTTCTGTTGTTTGGTTTTTCTTGTTCAGCGTTTTGTTTTTTCTTTTCCTTTCTTTTTCTTTTTTTTTTTTAAATGCTTCTCTAGATGTCACATAGAGAAAGAAAAAAAAAAAAAAACCAAAACAAAAGAACAAAAAAAAATTAGTAAAACTAAAAGACAAATTCCTCAATTATCAAACATGGGATCATTTAACTTATAAACCATTCTTTTTTTTTCTTAAAAATAAGGAAAACATCTTAAAATATTTCTGCGTGGTTGATTTACTTGCACTTGAAAATATTGTGATTTTATTTTTTTCTAGAAATTTGGGGGCCTTTTTCAATTGACACTTTCCTAGGTTTGGTCTTTTTCCAGTTAGTCTATTTTAAATCTCACCTTAAAAGGGAATATGAAAACCAAAACCAAAATATCTATAGTAACAAAATGATAAAAAAAAAAAAAAAAATTAAGCCAAAAAGCTAGAGTCCAAAGCCAGAGGTCTCTGAGAGAGAGCCTGGTAAAAATTGTAAGGTTTGTATTGTAGCTACTTCTGCTAAATTGAATGTGGGGAAGGAAGGGTGGTTGGGGTCATGGGAGGGTATTTTTGGTTGGTCTGAATGAAACAGTAGCAACAAAAGCAAAATGCATCTTTTTATTTACAACTGAAAAAGGGTCCTTGACAAGTGTTTTTTAATTTTATTATTGTTTTCTTTGGTGTTGTAATTGTTTAGACTGCTGTGTACGGTTTGCTGTTTGTTGAATCAACAGTGTGAAAACCTGCCAGCATGGATTGATACACGCATGACGTTGTCCCCTCCAGTGGGGGCTTTGCAGTTATAATTTTCTTGATGTAACAGTCACCCCCATGTATAAGTGGAAGCTGCTTGCTAGAATGGAGATGAGCCTCATTTGTTAATTCACAATGGTTAAGCATTCGCCTTCTGATTCTAGTCAGATCATGATTTTTTCCCCCTTAAAAACAAAACAAAAACCACCATTGGAAAAAAAAAATTCCAAGAACTGTTTCAGTTAATATTTTAAGTTTAATAATTAAATCTATTTTGACCTTTTTTTAGGTTCTCCCATCCAATCCCTGGAAGTTCTGAATTTCCTCTAAATTCCCTGGCATGTATGAGAAAAGTATTATGTATGTGCATATGTGTGTGCATAGATGTATACACATACACACATATCCATGTATATATACATATGTGCAGGTGAATCTGTTCTACACATATATCCAGATATACATATATATACACACACAGCCTCGCAAATAGTTACTAACCTTGGGGAAGAAGTGGTTGGCTAGAAAGAATTTGGGAAAGCATTTGGCAAAATTTGAGCGGCAGTTAGCTCTGTCTTCCTAGTTTTCCTCAAGCTGGGGAGGAGTGGGCTGGCCTGCCACATTTCTGCTATCTTGTTTGCTAGGCTTCTGTATACATATGGTATCTGGGCTAGGTCCCTCGGGACAAGTTATAATTACAAATTTCTATCCCACAGTCCCAAATTCTTCCCTTAGATCTAGCAGCCCCTTAATCCAGAACCCTTCTTAAGGAAGCCAATCAGGAATTCTCTTCCAACAACTAAACCCCAGCTGTAACCATAGCCACTAGATCACCCAGTGGTTTTTCAGTTTGAATAGAAGAACAAATTTCTTTTGGCTGTATCATGATCATGACTAATTCTCATACTGGTCTCTCTTCCTTCCCACCCACCATCCCCCAGAAATCCCATCTTCCCCAGAGGCAGGGTCCTATTGGTGTTTGGATGCATTGTTTTCATAGCTGGCTTAATCAGCAATGATTTTCTTCATTTTAGGGCAGGATGCTGAACGGGCTACATTAAAAACAAACCTCTTTCTCTCTCTGTTTATAAATGAGAACTGTTGGACGACACCTTTGACATATCAGCCAATACCAATCAAGCTGAAGACTCCAGACACTCTGTGTGACTGTAACATTTCTTCAAGGAAAGTATAGCGTCTATGGAGTACAGAGGGCACGTGTTTGGGGAAAAATACACATGACATAAAGATGACGACGAAGAAGAAAAATGAGATAAAACAAACAAACAAAAAACCTGCAACTTTAAACCGAAATAACGTGAGCCCAGATGGGGAAGCTGAAGGGCTGGGCACTAGGAGACACTGCTGCTGCCAACCGATCCTGGGGCTTTTCCAGCCCGTGGGCGCCTGAGTCAGGCAGGGGCAAGCGTACAAAGGGGCCTGGTCCCCAGCAGGCGGCTGGGAGGCCGCCACTGAGCATCTCTATTTGTCATTCCTTTAGCTATTTAGGGACCAAAGGACCAAACTTTTTATTGCAGATGTGTAGCTCTGTCAATTAGAGGTAGAATGGAGACCAACCTCCTTCCTGCCTCCTAGCTGTTCTTGAAACAGCTTAGAGCGATTCTATGAAAAAAAAAAAAAAAGTAATAAAAAAAATAAAAAATAAATAAAAAACGAACAAAAAAAAAAAAAACAGGAAAAAAAATAATGCTTTGACGCTTTTAAAACAGCAAGATACTAGTTCTTTGATACTTTGAGAGGCGCTTTGATTACCCCGATTGAAGTCTCTGAAACTTTCCTATGGTTTTCTGTATTATATGTCCGGATGGAGCTGTTAAGATAAAAAGATTGGTGGATATTTGGGGAACGACAAAGATATTAAGTCATTAACCATGAAGAGTGAGAACACGAGGGGAACCAGGGGACTTCGAAGGCAAGGTAATTGTTGTGAAAAGTCTGTAAATGCTTCTAACTCTTCCCCCTCTTAAAATCATAATAGTTGTACAGAATTTTAAAAGGAAAAAGTTTAAAATACCTATATCATAGAAGAAAAAAATTAGAGGAAAGCAAAAAACAAAAAAAAAAAAAAAGGAAAAAAAAAACCTTATAGAAGTTAGCGTTATGCTAAAATCCCAGATGTTGTAGGACTGTACTTCTGTAGAGTTTAGACTGAGCATCGATCCCGTCTCCCCGCGAGTGCTGTCGGACTCGGCCCCCAAAGGCCAGACCGGGCTGTCCAGACCTGCGGGCTCCAGCCGGAAGCGCCACTCCTCCAGGAAGCGCCTCTCCGGAAGCGTCCTGCCGCCTCTTGCTTCGCCCGCCCGCCCAGGAGCTGCGCGCACGCGCGCTCTCTCCGCCCTCCTCACCTCTGCTTCACTCGCCTTCTGTGCTTGTTCCGGAGACTTTCCAGGCCAGGGAGAACTGGGAACTTTTCATCTTCAAACAACTAGACAACACACACACACACAAAAACCTTAACAAGAGAGAGAAACAAACAATCTTTGAAGAATTTCTGAAACTGTTTACAAGGAATTTTGAAAAACAGGGATGTTTAAATGATGCCGGCTCTGTTTTTCTGTAAATAAATTTGCATATTTTGTAGGACTTTTAATTGTAATGATAGAGAAAAAACAAGGAAAACTATTTAATGAAAGCACGATATTTATCTTTGGTAAATGACTTTAGAGCAGTTAAAGACATTGCTTAAAAAACTCAGAATCAGAAAAAAACATTGAATTATTTAAGAACACATATATTTTAAAGTATAACATATTTATTATAATTTATTTGCACCCTTGGGAAGACTTGCTTTGCATTCTGCCTCAAGAGCTGCTCATTGATGTCCATCTGGAGGCCAGAGGGATCTCGGAAGTATCTTTTTTTTCTTTAGAACAACAAAATTCTGGTTGCTCTCAGGCCTCCTCCCTTTTCTTTCTATTTTCTTGTTGTTTTACTTCATCTAGTTTTCTTTTTGTTTCTCTTGACTCCTCCTTTTAGGATGTCCAGATGTTGTAAAAAAAAAAAAAAAAAATTCAGCTGCAGTTCAGTACAACTGCTCTTTTCACACTGACTCCCTAAAACTCCTTGTAACCTTCTGTAACTATTGGATGACGCTTTCTCCAGCTTAGCCCTAAATAAAGCACAGTTTAAAAAAAAAAAAAAGCCCTCAAAGAGTCCTTATTTCTCTGTGCCTCTCAGGTTCTCTTCAGTTGTCCTTCAAGATATCAAAGGTCTGTGCAGGACCTTGTTCTTTCTGAGACCTGCCATAAAGGTCTTCACTGTGACCCCAGCAGTGTATGGGTACAATAAAAGGCAGGCCTGTTTACCCTAAGGAAACCTCAACTGGCATTATCGCAGGCTCCATTGCAAGTTCATTTGGTTTTGGGCTTCTTGGGGAGAGTTGGTCACAGTGTCTAGGCATAAATATCACAGGCCCCCTTTCCTTTCTGACAAAAGGAAAGCAAGGCTTTCTGACTTGAAGATTCACCTAGAGTTGGACAAGGTGATGTTATGCCTTCAGGGAGGAGACGGTGGAGGGAAGGGACACAATCCAACTTTGACATGGAGCCTTTTGCTCTTGGTCCTGTACATCCAAGGACAGTTTGCCTGGATGGAGAAAACAGGAGTGTGGATGTTGCCCTTGGAGTCACTGTCCTGGGAAGAGTGTGTAGAAAGAGGAGCTGGAGTCTTGTTCTGGGAAGCCTCTTAGGAGTGCTGTCCCACACTTAGACATGACATAAGCTCTGAATACCGTAGATGCCTTGGGAGCAGATGAATAATGTCCTAATGGGACGGGACAAGAAACGACAAGAAACAGGGTTTGAAGGAGACCAGGGATGGGGCTCCTGAGTGACAGCTTGGACAGAGGAATACTAGCCACATGTGTTTCTCAGGCCCTTCCTGAGAGAAAAAAAATTAGAGGAAAGCAAGTTTATTTTTGTTTTATGTGCATTGGTGTCTTGGCTGCATATATGTCTCTGTGGGGTGTCAGATCACCTGGAACTGGACTTATAAGCAGGCCTGAACTGCCATGTGGGTGCTGGGAATTGAACCAGTGTCCTGGAAGAGCAGCCAGTGCTCTTAACCTCTGAGCCATCTCTCCAGCCTGAGAGATACCGTCTCAATGTTTTCTAGGTCTCAGCATTCAACCCTGAAATCTGGTCTAGGGATAGACAGGATCCAAGAGTTCATCACTCTCCATAGTTAGGGGTCAGGAAGTTGTATAGTATAAGGTCTCTGCAGGAGGGAGATTGAGCCTTGGGGAGCAGGAAGCCATTCACTGTTTTGGAGTATGAGACACTGCTTCAGTACTGCTTGGCTTCTCCAAAGAGGGGTGTTAAGGATGGTGATAAGAATAGCTTCAGAGCAATCCCTGGTGTCCATGGACCCTTCTTCCCACTTTTCTTACTGGTGACAAGCACCCGTCCCATGTCTCATCCAGGCCCTGGAAGTGTCAGCTAGAGAAAAGAGACCTCCATGTATCAGCAAATATGGATAGAGCCACTGTGGGATAGTTCTATGATAGAGTAGACTTACTATGCCAAAATTAATTCACACACCCTGGTCTTCCCAACAGGATGTGAACTTAAGGGAAAGCCAGCTCTGCCCATCCCAGGAGCCAGACTTCTTGGAAGAGTTCACTTTAGTAGCTGCACTGGTCTGATGCTGTAATACTTTGTAATGAGTAGGAAGATAATTTCTAAAACATTCTCTGGGGAATGAGAGCGGGTTTATAGGTTTTGAGGCCTGAACTACGTTAAACTGTGGTTTCTGTAGATATTAAGAGCTGAAGTGCATCATACCAGCTAGAGAAAGACCACTTCAGCTACCAGTCATTCTCAGGCCTTGAGGGTACTTACCACACAATGTGACCCTTTGTATTTACCTGCCACTGTCACCCTTGCTCCAGGCCACTGGCCTACCCTGTGGCCACAGAGGTGTTTTGGTTTAGGGCTGCAGGGACCTTTGGAATTGCCACCAGAGAAGGGATGAGATGCTTGTGAGCCACTTCTGCCTCTTCAACACATGACTGAATGGAGAGATTCTGTCACCAGAGCCGTGGTGTGAATTTACCAGTTGTAGAAAATAAACTCTGGGCAGCAGGCAAGGCTGCACATCAAGCAACTACTGTTGTTCTGCATACTGAGCACAGAATGCAATCTTTGAACATCCGAGGCAAGGTACAGAGCCCTTGAAAGTTTGCTGAACATGTTCATATATGTTCCATAAGATTATAGGGAGCTCCATAGTTCCCACATCCTTCTTAGTGAGGCACTTTTGATCTGGAAAGTCAAAACAGCCCAAGTGAAGCCTACACCAATTTCTGTTTTTTGTTTTGTTTTGTTTTGTTTGTCCTCTAGCTTATACCCCTCCACTATGCATATCCCACCTGCAGTGTGGTGTATCACTTTCAGGAGCCCCTATTTGTAAGAGATAACTATTCATTACTGTAAACCCTTTATTTCTAGCATAACTCCTAACAAAGACAGCTGCATCGTGCACCCTGTGTGCCAACCCCTATTTTCCTCTCCTGTCAGTTTGTGAGTCAGTTTGACACAGGTGGCAGATACAAGGAACTTCATTGGTACATGCTTCACTTCTCCTCTTAGCTTTTTTTTCTGCATTGAGGTCTACCAGCTGGTGGGAACTGGGCCAACATGGCCTATCTTGCAGGGTAGGCCTGCGTTCACGTATGACCCTGTGTAGCACCTTATCAGTGACTGGGCATGCCCCCTGAAGGCCTTGTAAAGTCCTTTCAGCTCCTCCTCTACCCTTTTCAAGTCCTAGCCCTCTCCTCACCAATCCCCCTTCCCCTTGCTGGCTTTCTCAATGCTGCCTATATGAAAATAAGATGGGGACCTTTCAATGACTTCCTTCCTGTCTCCTAGCTTTTCCAATGGTCTGGCTTTTGTTCCATTCTTCCTCAGCCTCCCCCACATTCAGAGTATGGGTAGCATGGGACACAGACATGCCAGAGCCTCTCTCTGACCGATGTTGCACTGTCTTCACTCCCAGTACTAGTAGTGTCTGGGGAACTTGGCAGCTGCTCTACCGATCCTTCTGGCACAGGGTCTGTGGTGAGTGAATCAGGCTGAATCTAGACAGGCTTGCTTGCCTGTCTGCCTGGTAAGGTGAATAAAGGGATATGTGGGCATTGAACTCAGCTCAGCCCAAGGCAACAGCATCAGACTTGACCGTGAATGCTACTTGGCCAGTTCCCAAAATAGAATCACTCCTCAAACACAAATTATTAGCTGCCATTGATGTATCACCTTCAATAGACTATTAACTTCTGGCAGTTAGATTTGTCATCACTGTTGAGTCACTCTGCTTGCAAGGACAAATTATAGATCACTGGGGCTTGTTCCAAAGAAGTAGATGTTCTGAAAATGTCTCATGAGTACTGCTAATAGCACGTGCGGAGTAAGTTGCATAGCCAACGCACCCCTCCCACTGGGTTCTTCGGCTTCAGTTCTTTGCTTTAAACTTCCATCCATCACTAAAAGCCACCTATTCTCCTCCCTTCAAATTCTCACCATTCTTACTCCTGCCTCTGGTCCCCACAGTCCCAGCTGCCCCAGGCTTGGCTAGCTAGCTCCTGATCTCCAGGCCCCTCCTTTAACCCCAGATCCTTTCTCCTGGCAGTCTGTCTATGTGACTCTTCAGGGAATTCTGGTAGACCTCACCTCTGCAGATGGTGATGGTAGTCTAACCAGAGGTTGTACCAGAGGTTGTAGCCAGAGGAGAGGGTGGAGAGCCCAGTGTCTGAGAGCTGAGAATGTGAAGGTTTGGGCTATGACTCAGACCAGGGTTCCACACCAAGTTACCTTTCTGTGTCACTTCGAAAAGTTGGTTAATGTTTTTGAGGCTTGATTTCTTTACATAGGGATAATACCACCTTCCATCCCTTAAAGTAGGAATCTTTGACTGAAAACATGCTCAGAATTAACATCATTTGGGCTATAACCCTCTTCTTCCCCTTCTTTAACTATATCCCACTGACTGCTGGCATCCCACCCAGAGCTTGAAATTAACACTAAACCATTTAGGTCATGTTTTGTAAAGCTCATCCAGCCCACACTACCCTAGGATAATCCTTATCATGCTGGGTGTACATAAGTTTGGTACTTGTGAGTCCCCAGTTAGCTGACATCTGACACACAGGCACCCTCTGCTCTTTCCTTACTCTGTGAGCATCACTGGGGCTGCTGTGATTCCTTCTGCCTGCAGCCAGCCTCCTTCTGGCTCAGATGGCCTCAAGATGCAAGCTAATTGGGTGGGCAAAAGGGTACAATCAAGTCTTTGAGCCTGACCCTAGCACCTTCTTCCCTCCAGCATCACCAGTCTTTCCAGTTTATATTGGGTCTTTAATTAGATATCTGATGTATTGGTGGCAGTAACTCAGCTTGCTCTACTCCCCCAACAGTCTTACTAAATATTTTAGGCTGATTTTGAACTTGCCTCAGCCTTCTGGGATTATAGGTATTTGCTGTCACACCATGCTGCAGCTTTAAATGTGTTTCTAGTGGGGATAGACAGAACTAGGTAGTGATCTGCCTCGGCAGTGGACACTCGGGGCTTCCATTGAGCAGTCACTCTTGCTGTGGAGACCCCACCCTAAGGCATGGTGTAGCTGTAATGTATTCAGTGCTTTCTTTGTGCTAGGTGTCGTAGTGAGAACTATTTAATTAGACTCTCATCTTCACAATAATTCTATGATGATAGTGTCATTGTCACTGAGGGGAAAAAATGTGGCTAGAAAAGGTAAATCCCTTGATAAAGTTGCCTGGAGCCAAAGGGCTGCTGCTGCACCTGTCTCTCTCTGCTGTCACTTCTCCTTTGTGGCAGACTATTTGATTCCCTCCACCCCCATCTCACTACCTATTTCCTCCAGATCTCCCTTTTGCTTATAAAATGTCTATATCTACATTGAGTTGGTAACCACTGTGCTTCTCCCTTCTCATGACGAATTCATGCTGCAACTGGAGTTATTGAGGGAACAAGGGGGCACGCTACATGGCTAGTGTGTGCATAGTTTCTTCTGCCTGGTAGCAACTGGTAATGACAGGGGCAGAAAGGACAGTTTCGAAGGACAGGGTAAAGAATCACAATATCTAAGCTTTTATTATTATTATTATTATTATTATCATTAT